ACAGCACTGTCTGGTTGGCTAAAACTAGACTGGAAGCTTTCTTTGTCTTCTCTTTCATTTTCTCCTCCACATCTTATCTGAAAACTGATACCAGTGCGCCACACTGGAGGGAACTAGACTGATTTGACGGCGGAGCGGCCTTCCAGAGCGCCCTCGGGGTAATTTATGGAGACAGTCTTTGGCATCCTGGGACTAACTTGTCAAGACCTGACTACAGGCAAATATTGAGGACATTATCCTTCAATGTAACGACCTTGACTCGATTCCACCTTTTTCTCAGGCGCAGCATTAAGCATAGGAGGATGGTTTTTAATCACTAACATAAAGCAGACTCTTTCGGTCTTTTATAAAATTTAATAGCGATGATTGGACCCCGGGAAATGCCTCTGTGAGAATCTGCCGAACAATTTGCATATATTTGTAGTTCATTTGCAGTAACATCACGGGCCGGTACAGAAAAATGCTTTGTTTTAGTCGCAGTAAAAATATGATGAAGTGCTGCAAATGGGAGCTGGTGTCAGTTTTTATGGAGAAGTGAGGATCATTGAGAGAGAAGCAGCTGGAACAGGTCACAGCAAACGCCCCATCGGTGTCTGCTGTATACAGTTGATAAGGTGCAAAACAAACATCACTGAGGTGAGACTGAACGCATCGCAGTGAGCAGCAGCCGGCCATTGTCTTTTGGGTCATTTTGTTAAGCAAAAAAACGACAACAATATCATCCAGACAGTGTTGGTGTTCATTTTAAATTGTAAATATATTGTAATGTGTCGGGGATGTTGGGTCATGTTTGTGTGGTTCACACATTCACACGGCTGCGATACCACTTCAGATACACGAGAAATAGTGCCAATTCAGCCTTTCCTTTTTGACACATTCGTAGTACTTCTGACCGTGCTAGGAAGGCTAAAGCTAATCACTCCACATAAGCCATTATTCCCATGTTTTTCCGACATGTATTTCTCAAACTTGTTATTATGTTAGAGCTGAGGTGATACAGCGCCATGTGTACTACAAGGGCCGGAGTCGTATTCAGCAGCTTCTATTAAAACGCTGAACTTTCTTGCACAGTCATCACTCCGCATCCAGAGGCTCAATGAGTTGGGGGCCGCTTTTAGCCCTGCCATGTCATTGAAGGGCCAAAAACTAACAGCACGGGGTCACATTATACTGACATCTAGTTGCGTGTCACATGTGGGTTGTTAAAACTCCCGAGTTTGAGACTCCTGCCTTAAACTGTCTGTGTTGTACTCACTACCTGGAACCAACCACAGTTTGCGGTACACGTGCAGTGTTTTAAAGAGCTGTAGGCAGCTGTTCTTGACTACAGCAACAGGCTGATTAATACATTAAACAGCTGGCCTTTGCACTTTTTTCTCATTAAAGTGAAGTTTTTCCCAAAGATAAGAAAAATCTTCTGAGGCGAGGATATAAACAAACACAGCAGGTTTTTTTCCACAGAGGTCTGGAAGGATTAGACTGAACTGATCATTCTGATTCCATCTATCTGTTTTCCATCACTCAATCCTTTTCTAAGTCAGGGGTTAGGAGGGAGAGGAGGGCAGTTGGAGCCAACCTAGCAGTAATAGGGCGAGTTAGGTACACTCTGGAAAATTCTCTAGACTCTTACAGGGACTAAACCAAGGAGAACATGCAGTCTGTGAAGGAACAACACCAGTTAGGGCTAGGTGATCTCCTTGTTTTGAAGCAAGGGCACCAACCACCATTTTCTTTATTTGTTTTGTTTTACTCTTCCTTTACTGACGGCGTCTCCTCCATCTCTCCCTTCATTCCCAGGTCTGCTTATAGGATCAGGCTGCGCTCTCTACCCACTGGGATGGGACAGCGAGGAAGTACAACAGACCTGCAACAACAGCTCGGACCAGTTCCAACTAGGTGAGACATGAATCATTAATATGGACTGTATCACTTGGGTTGTTTTTACAAACAGACAACTGTCCAAAAATGAGACATTATCAAGTGAGTGGCACTTGGGTGGGCTTCAACACCTTGTTGTTGGGTTGTGACCTGGCATGAAAGATATGTAGGAATCCACAGAAGAAAACACTGGCCAAGGCGTTCAGACTTAAATGAAAGATATGTAGAGAAACATTTGTTATTTGAATATTTAAAGGCTGTTTTTTCTAGGACTTACTTTATCCAGAGATATATTGAGAAATGCAACATAAATTGGACAGACAGAAAAAATATAGAACTCAATCACAGTCTGTAAACACTGCAGAGCAAAGAGAGTCCTATAAAGAGAATTCATCCACATTTGACATAATGACTCACTGGAAGATACTATCTACCAACCAGTGCCTGTGTTGGTGGCCAATCCTTCACACATGCATGCACACAACCACGCAACGAATCAAACTCTGAGGCTTAACCTTGACTGTGTCAACATGTCCTGTGTTTGCTGAATGATCTGGTCCAAAAAAGCCAGGATCTGAGAACAGATGTTAAACATTTGTCCTTTTTTTAAAACCTAAGAATGCAGAAATTGATGTGGGTGATTTTTAAAAATAAATTTGCTCGCTGTGAAATAAATATTTTTAAAAATATTCAGGACTTGTAGACAGTGGTGACGTGTAGACTGGAAAACACCGTTATTCTGTGAATTTCCTTTCAGTTAATCTGATAATCTCTATTTTCATACATACACAAAAGTCTTTCCTCCAAGTTGTATGATCGATAAGTCAAGACTACTCTCGTTTGCAGTCAATCACTAAAGTGTTCTGCAGACATAAATATTTGCTGGGCTTGATTGGTGCTTAGTATTCAGATGGCACGATCAGACACTATCGCAGAAGGTGGAGGAGCAGTTTCTAATCCATTTTCTGCTTATCAGACTGCATTTGATCTTTTTACCTAATGTAATATGATTTGGACGTCCTGGAGTAATTAATATCATCCCCAAACAACCAAGCGGAACACAGCGACATACATTTGTGTGATTGGAATATTGTGATTAAATTCATCCATCCATCCATTTATCTTTTACTGCTGATCCTGTTAAATGTTGCAGCAGAATCTGGAGCTGATGCCTGCTAATTGGATGATAGATTTCAGTTAGAACATCTAGATATACTTTCTTAAATCAGTGTTCTGTGAAGAACCCTTGAGACAGACTGCCGAGACTGGCTTCAATTAGTTCTTGAAGCAGTTTGTGTAAAATCCTTTTTCTCCTCTCTTCTGGCACATTTAAATACAATGTGATTGTTAGATACTTGGTATGGACAGCAGGGTGCTATTTACTCCTACAGTGGTCAACAAAGGTCACTAAAAGAAACCCTTACGATAAAGCAGTGGAACATTTTCACCTAACAATGGAAACTTAGAAACACTGTCATCAGTGTTATAAACACATTCTTGATAAATATACAAAAAATGTTCATTAGTTCCTTAATTATGTTTGTCATTTTATCTTCTAATTTTCACTTGAACGGTCGAAAACCAGTTAAGTCTGTGTGCCTTGTGTGTTGTTGTGACATTAGGAATGCTGAGATTTTAGGTTAACCTGGTACCAATGACAGCACCGAGTTGTTTCAGATTCATTCTTGTCAGAACAACGGCACGACTGTGATGTTCTCCTTTGAGAACAGTAGACTTCACAGACGCCAGTAGAACAGCCACAGTCGGTGAATCTCTGCTGCGTCGACTCATTCAACTATTGTGATGAGAGATGGGTTTAGAGGGAGATGCATCATCAATGCAAAGGTTACCTTCAAATATAGCTGGGAGTCATGTGACTCCTCAGAGGTTCATTGAGGAAGTTTCACCATTACTGTACTGTATTATTAAACCACACTCACACAGTGAAGAAAGGTGAAGCTGCTTTTTTCATATGTTTGAAAAGAAAGATAACTGTCTGGCATAACTGTGTACATACAGGTGTTGAGGTTCTCCTGTATTCATATGTTTTAGCTATTAGCTTTAGGCGCTGCTGCTCTGTCTTCGGTCCCTGGTGTTAGCGTGTGTTTACCACACACCACACTGTCTCCGTCTGTTTGCTAATGAAGTCCAACAACATTCTCTTTGAACAATGCTTCCTCTTTCTTCTCGCGAGGGGAGGAAATGTAGGAGCTAGGAAACAAAATGTAAAGCACTTTACACTATTTGTCTGCTCGTAACCCAAACTGTGTAACTACTTCATGATGAACGGTGGAGTTTGAAGCTCAAAGACAAACAGAAGAACTTCACACCAAACACACACATAATGTCGAATGTAGAAAATTGAAGTTAACTCATTTTTGGGAACCAAAAAGTAATTTCACTACTTTATAGTAGGTGGCAGTAAAATAATAAAAAGTAAATACGGCAATATTAACATGCCATGATTAAACAAATCAATATTTTATCAGGCCAGGTTCTAGTTTAATAAAATATTAAGGTATGTTAGTAAAAAAAAGTATTCTCTAGCTGCTTCAAAGAATACTAATTTTTACCAACATACCTTCATCTTTTTAGTTCATAAGCGGCTCCTCAGGATTAGCTGAACCTCTGTGACTTTTACATTTATCTGTAGCTGTACTCTGTCTAAAATACTTTTTAATCTTGTGAAATACTATCTATCTAAATAAGAATTGGAACTCATATTTGCATAAAAGGGACATTATGGTGTCTGGCATTTAAAACAAAAACAGAAACCAAAGCCACTGCTGGCATTGTGTTTAAAGCTAATGCTATGCTAACCACAACAACAGTTACTGTACTGTGTTAACCCTACAGCGATACTATACTATATTGAAACGTTTGATTAATTCCATGTCAGAAATTACAAACAATATTCAAGAAGATGTGCCCCCAGTGGGTGACCAAAGTTATTGCAGTTGCAGTTACAGCAGGTCAATCATCCAATCTAGCAAATAAAATAGTTTTGGTACCACTGTGTCCATGGATCTTCTCTGGACTCTCCTGTCTATCCACTCCATCTCCAACATTTTTTCCATACATCCACCTTTTTTTTTTAACTTGACTGAACCGACTCAGTCGTGCTTCAGGGAACTGAAGCTTCTTGCCCCTGGCACTGGTGTAATGTGGAAGCACCAGAAATTTCACCACCTCCTCTGGCGCTGCTTCCAGCGCCCACTGCTCCAAATGTTGTTGTGTGTATACAGTATGTGTCTGTATATGTACAGTCGCAAATAAAACTAATCCTACTTCTGTTATCGAGCGTGGTCTCCTCATCTCCTCCAACCTTAGCTGCCAATTTCTGCCAATTTGAGAGAACACCCACAGTGTCTGGAGTTTGAGTCAGACAGTAGGTGTGATATATATACACTAGGTGCAATGAGTACACTATACAGTGGTATATACAGCTTAAAGCTAAACAGCTCTGTTTGGAAGTTTATTTTATTAACCTTCATATTTATTAATATATCACGAAGCAGCATTTCTGGCAAATTACTTTTTTAAACGAATGTTATTTTATATAAAGTTTTGTCTCGTTATTATTGTATAAATATACTTTAAATGAATATGGTGGACAAGTACTGTTGCAGTGTTGTTACATCAGAAAACAAATGTGGCTCAAACGCCCAACAAACAAACAACATTCACACATCCTGCCCACATATTGACTTATAAAGATTCAAAGTTTAACCTTTACCTTTATGTTTATATGGTGGACATGAATCTGCCCATTCACCGTAGATTATGCAGCACAGCTTTATCTTGTGAAAAACGGACACACAGATAAACAAAATGGTTAAAAGTTATCATTCCTTCTTTATCTCCACAGGTTCCTGCCAGATCGGCTGGGCGTATTACTGCACCGGGGCCGGGGCAGCGACTGCCATGCTGCTGTGTGCTTGGCTGTCCTGTTTTGCTGGCAAGAAGCAGAAGCAGTACCCGTACTGAAGACGTGGGGGAGAGACAGGGTGAGGCCACAGATGGACTTTGGGTGGTAGAAAAAAGAGACAAGCCTCTGTGGACTCATCAGTACAGCCATCAGGCACCAAAGACAGCCGCGGTGCTCTGGTGCTCTGGGACACTCCTCTACTCCATCATCTGAAAACTGCAGGGACTCTTTCTTAATGCAACACATGAACCTTTGAAACTGGGTTCTACTCATGAAAATTGTTCTTAAAAGAGGAACAAACAAACAAACACACGGACCAATTTTATTGGTAATGTTTCTGTGAGAAGTATTCTCTGTTCTTTTGTGTCTTTCTCTCCTTCAGTACTGTAAATGTGATTGTCTTCCTGTGCGTGAAGCCCGGGCCACACGACTACTGATGGTCAGCCAGTAGCCGAATCAAAGATTGTCTGTGAAAAACCCAGCAGATTTCAGAGTATTTCAAACTCACACTGCTTTACAGACATATTCATATACATGGGATGACTGTTTAGCTTGCTGGCTTGCTAACTGCACATAACTAAGTAGCGTTTGGTGTGTATAATATCCCGGACTGAGTTGGTATAGTACAGTATGTAGATATTGTAAGCAATATTTGGTGCAGGAACAAAAATGGAAAAAAAGTGAAATGAATAATAATTTTGGTTTCTGATCGAACAAAAACATGCAGCTCAGGAAGGTTAGAACCTGAAGTATACTCATTATCAAATGTGTAGTTGTTGCATTCAGAAATGCAGCTGAACTGTTGGGGTGGTCCGATAACCGTAAGCCAAAAACAAAAATGCACTGTTGTCTTATTTTACTTTATAATACATTTTGGTTGGTCGTACCGTAACCACTTCATACAGTCCCAGGTGTATTAGGGTCTAAACCTGTTGAACTGAACCTGAACTGTTCAACCTCTGATCTGATTGACTTGAGTTGAAGAGCCAACTTCAATCTGCTTCACATGCAGTACCAACAAGGTCCTGTTTGTATGTCATTGACTGGCCAGTAACTGACCACAGGCCAGTGTGTCCCGGGCTGATGGGAAAAACTTATTACTACTTCATTGTTCTGTGAAGTGTTACTGTCCTTCCTTCGTCTTTGCCTTAAAAATACACACAGAAATGCAATAATCCCTGTTACACAACGCAATCCGACACTGGTTGCCTGCTTCCTCAAACCTGAACCTTTTCAAACCTCCAAAATGTAAGCTCTAGTTTATTTACCCACGTTCACAAAATAAATATACATATATATATATGAACATATGCTACGTCGATATGGTACATTGTGTACAATAAATGTATTTTATCATAACATATTAGCACCTGTTTTGTATTCACTGTTCAAATATTCCCTTCTTTTTATTTTGCTTTGTAAATAAATGTTTATTGAAATCCCGTCTTCGGATTGTGTTTTCAGTCACAGCACGCCCCGAGATAAACTGAACCAACCTGCACTCACATTCCAAAAAGGCCTTTCCCATGACCCCTTGATCCCTGCAGTGTTTACTGCACGTGGGAGCCCCCCACCTCGCTGATCAATGAAGAGGATCAAAAACTGCAGTGAATTCAACTGCTGCCCTACCACTGCTGAGGGAAATCCTGTTACCTCCAGTCAGATTATATGCCTTTGATTCAAAGTGTCAAGTGTCTTTCCAGGCAATTCCACAGATGGAATCACAGCCTGGAAAACCGAGTAGCAATGCAGGCATCGGCTTAATGTCAGAGGGAGGTGTCGAAGAGCTCCACGCCCTGCATCTGTGGCGTGACTAACAGTAACGGTAACCTTTTCATAGCAATTACCACAGCTGGATATGTGTCATCAAAGGCATGTGCTGTGTTCCGCTTCCCTGACACTATTTTTAGCCCCAGCTTCTTCCTCCCATCTCTCTCCTTTTCATATTTTCCTTCTTTGATTAACAAACCACACTTCAGAGACTCCTCCGTGCCCAAGAGTACAACGTCAGCTCATTTACCACAGAGCTGTGCTGAATGCATTAGCAGCTCATTAGCATGTACGTTTTCTCACAATGCACTGGATAACAGCGCCTCCCTTTCACCGCTAGTACCACCCCACCATCCCCTCACCCCTTCATCACCATCCCTCCCTCTCCTCCTGCTCTGCTTATTGTCTGAGTGGCTCCTGTACATTCCCTTCTGACCCACTCCTTCAGATCTGCTGCGCTGATTGATATCAGCGCTGATTGCTACCGTGCCAACTACATGCTCCGTCAGCACCCACTAACACACCGCGGTCAAGTCACAGCCTCTATATCAGCTGCTGGACCTCAGACTGACATGCAGTGCAGCGGGTAATCTGATCTGAGATCTGGTTATTTAATCTCAACAGACCCGTACTGCTGGGCACAGGTTGATTTGTGATACTCTGAGGTTTTTACGGTAGTTTGCAGGTCAATTTTTTAACAAGGCTGTTTACATGGTGATGTGTTAGCAGTACATTGGGACTGTGGTCCCAACCTTTCAAACATTCTGCAAAAACAAAATGCCTCAAAGTCGCTAATATAAAAAACAAAACAGAGGAATAAAGTGAGTCCTTATGAGACCCACAGTCTCTTTAAACAAAGCTAAAAAAAACATAGGTTGGCTAAATAATTAGCAAAAGGGAACACTTGCTAAAGCTAAGTCAAGTCATTTGGAGATATAAAAACACTGAATAAGTAAATTTACAGGAAATTTTAATTAGAAGACAATTACTTTTCATCACATTTACTTCTTGCAACACACCTTTGAGCCGAGTATGCACTTTGCAATTGAGATGTACCAATGTGTGAAATTGATGGGGATTTTATGGTTGTAGCTAACTGTGGGTTGTATGTCCACAGGTAGCCATTATCACTGACAAAAGGATTTTCTGAGTGTCAGGATTGTAGACCTACTGTCTTTAACTGCTACAATGACACAGTCTGTATGAGGCTGTAAGTACAGACGTCCGTGTTTCACATCAGGCTAACAACAGTCAACGGTCTCACAGTCAGTAACAGTCTTTGAAATATAAACACCACTATAACAGATCTGCCAATTAGCTTGACATGAAAAGGGACATAAAAGATTGAAACACAGATATGTAGATGTAATACTACTGCTGTCTCCAGTATTACCAGACCTTTGCACATTATTCTATTTGGTGCCTAACTTTAAATGTGCTGGGCTTTATCCACCCTGTCCGACTTAACAATACCCCTATTATGAGGGTTTGAAGGCCGTGCCCATTCATGCAGGTGTTTCCAGCCCTGTGTTTGGACACAGAGAGAGCAGTAGCACAGCTGAGTATTATGAAAAATCACCCGGGGCGTGTTCAGCTCTGACAAAATGTTCATTTACACTGACATGTGTTGAAGCGTATAATATTACAGGGTGTCATTTTAACACGTCGGGGCTAATGCAAACACACACTGCTGCTCACCACCTCCGACACACCCACCACCCGCCTTTGGCACATGGTTTGGTTTGAATTTGCCTCAGATCCGACACAGGAGACAATTTCACATTGCTGGTGGAGATCCATAAATCTTGTTGAGGAAAGGTCTAGAAACACCATCTCATACAGCCATCTTTACTTATTTTGTTCACACCTGTATTGTGGAGAGGTACAGGGAAGCGGGCAGGAACCAAATGCACCACTAAGGTGACAATGATAACGTGCAGAAGGTGTATTTGATCAGTTCAACTTAGATACATTAAGCTGAAAACAAGAGAATATGGGCCGAGCACGAACAAAGCAGAAACGAGGAGAAGAACAACTGAAAATATTACTAAACAGGCCTGAAGGAAAAGAACATGGAGCAACTGCAACCAAGAAGAGAACCACAAGAGCAACAGGACACAAGACAATTCATACAGAACACAACGACGACCTGACAAAGTGAGATAGAGAGGGAGTTATACCCAGGGCAGCAGGTGAGACGAGTGAGACTGATTAACAGAGAATCACAGGAAACAGGTGAGTGTGATGGAACTAATTAACCCTGGAGAAACAGACAGGAGGGAAGAGACACACACAGACCTGAAAACACCAAAGTGATTCCCAAGTCTCAGTTTTGTGTTGACATCAAATGACCTGATAAATATTTACATTTTTAAATAAAGTTCTTCAAATGCCCTAAAAGTGAACAGAACATTTTTGTCCAAACTGGTTAATTAACTCCGCTAGCCAGTGTTGCCAGATGCATACAATCATATCAGGAACCTATAGAATTTACAAGAAATATAACTTGAACAACCAATCAAATCACTCGCAATTAATGTGTGAGCTCAGGTCGAGTCTCTTAATTATTCAACATTAGGGTCTGCTCACTGCCTCTTACACCACCATATGCAACTCAAGTTTGTTTGCTTCATCCTATAGCTTTGCTTCAAAATATGACCATTTTTATGTAGAATATTTCATCATTTCCCATCTGGAAACATTACCTCTAATTAATGTGTGAGCTCAGGTCGAGTCTCTTAATTATTCAACATTAGGGTCTGCTCACTGCCTCTTACACCACCATATGCAACTCAAGTTTGTTTGCTTCATCCTATAGCTTTGCTTCAAAATATGACCATTTTTATGTAGAATATTTCATCATTTCCCATCTGGAAACATTACCCTTAGTCTTCCATATATTCTCACCAGCTTCATCTTGTCCTATTCCTAAGCTCATACTCTTATAGCCGATGGCGCCAGCCTTTTTTTTTTCTTTTTTTTTGACACAGTTTATAGACAGAACTGATTCTCTAAAGGCCTAGAATTTGATTCAAGGTCTTTGTCGATGGCGTCTGTGAGCGAACATCGACAGCTTAGCAGAGCTTAGGTGATACCGACAGCTAATGAATGAGGTACATGTGTTTGATTGTTCACTCCAGAGCTTCACTGTCAAAAATGTCTCCCGTTAAAAAAAGAAGTTTGGCTTTGATACAAGTCTAATTTGTTCTGTTCGACTCATGCGTCGAAGAAAAATAATGAGACGTCACTCAACCTCAGCCCAGTCAAAGTAAAACATGATCTTAACGGTGCAGAGATGGGGACAAACTGGAGGACGCAGTTCAATCTGTCAGGTCATCTGTATTCAAGATGATAGCTCTTCTACTTTTGTGTTAGAATATATCTCTGCAGACTGACAAAAGGCCTCTGTGCAGCTCAGGTTTTGAAATTTCAACACATGTCCCTACAGGGTTTTTTTTTCTCTTCACTACCTTCTTTCCATGACTTCAGTCATAAAATATACCTGCGGGTTACATGTGTAAGTCACCATATCAAAAGCAGATGTTGCTGTTTCTGAAAAAAAGAGAAGTCATAAACTTTAAAAATCCCAAAAGTGCTCCTCCTTACTCCCCCTTCAGCCTCCCCGACCTCAAGTTATTTCCTGTTCTGAGTGGCACTGGGGAAAAGCAGGAAAAATGAAAACGTGTTACTTTCCTGCCACAATTGAGAAATCTGTGTCTTGTTTGCTATTAGTGTCAATGAAGAAGCTGCAGAAAAAAAGCTGGTTTCACCTTTTAAGCTGTTTCCATAACAGTTCGCACTAAAGCAGTGAGATTATTTCTAAGTTAAAGAGAGAGAGACCTGACTAGAGCTGCGAGGCAGAACTGCTCTGTTATTTTTCCATTTATGTCAGTGTAAAACTATGACACAAAGTGAATACATTTCCAACGTAGTGTCTATGTTTCATCATCTTTTAGTGTCAGTGGAAAACTGAAACCTGTATTACTGTATTACTATCATAACTACAGTACCTCCAGCCTGACAACAGCACATCTTCCTGCTGCAAAGCAAAGTGCACTGCCCCCACCACCACACTTGACAATTCCATGTAGCCGTTCCCAAATTGCCATTCCCCCCATTTGAGGAAATAAATAAAAATTAAATCAAAACCAATGCCCTTTTTTCTGCACTTTAGCAGAAGCTGCAAAAATGGACATGACGTCGTCTTTAAAGAGGCTTCTGGAGTTCACACCCAGGCAGTGAGATTATTTTCAAGGAGAATTTAAAACTAGACTAAAACAGTTCTGCTTCTCAGGTTTGTAGACAACAAAATCTATATTTAAAGAAAAAAAAAATGTTTCCATCCAGTGTCTAAAATAGAGTCTCTGGATAGAGTTCTGTCTCACTATCGAATGAGAAAATTACACAAAATTAATTAATCTCCGCAGCCTCCTCAGTGCTGAGGGAATGTAAAGCCCCAAAGATGGTGAAGATAAAAGAGAGCCCAAACAGCCGGCTCTATCTGGGCAATGTGAAAGTCCTACTGCAGCATGAGACACTATATGCAAAGAAGATGTGAGAACAGCCCCCATCTGAAATTCTCACAAAACTGAGCTTCTGTTCATTATGAAAAACTCTGCAATCAACCCCTGCTCTCACTGTTAGCTGCGGAGGAGGCAGTGTGTCGTGACACAGAGCAGCTCGCTGAAGTTGACAGGACAGACCTGGAGGTCATGAGTCAATACGGCTGGTTCAGTGACAGTCAGTGGACGTGCAAGCACAGGTTGGTCACGCTTGGGAGCTATAATGAAGGGTTCTGAAAAAGCAACACAAACAAAAGAAAGTGAATGTAGCACTATCCAACTTATGGCGTACAATTGACAAATGTAAACAAAGCTGTCTTTTATTTATTTATTAGAGATGGCGACTCAACCACGAAACACTAGTTCGAGGACGTCATGAACTAAGGACCCCCTGTATGTAGTCAACTCTTATAATCTTCTTGTTTCAAAGTACTTACAATTTACTCACCCAATATGAAACCTTATCTGTTTATTTGAACACAATGCTGATATGCTGGCAGGGATTGAAGAAAGATACACAAAGATTTGTATGGCCATGTGCCCTGTGTAAATAAATAATGGTTTATAGTATCCAATGATGTTGACCAATGAAGTCAAATTGGATCATCTTCCATGGCAAAGCTGATTTCTCTCACAGCTCACTGATGTGCCACGGCACAGCTGATTTAGAACTGTTGTAGACAGCCACACTGCTGCTGACAGTTTCCTCCAGTAGAGGATTCCATGAGTGCCACATCATTTGTGCGTCCTCATCTTGGTTTATTGTCCTTCGAGTCTGCTTTCTCATTACCACTGCCTCTATGATCCATCAGTACTGTCTGCTAGTTCCAGTGGGGATGAATCTGGCCTACTCCCAGTCCATAATGTGAGTTCCCCCCTTGCAGTTTTCTAATATGGCTGCTTGATTTTATCGTTTTATTTGCAACATAAAGTATAAAGATTAGAAGGCCACATGGGAGTTTGTTTTTTGTAACTCATCATGGCAGCTAGCATCCTTTTGTTATGTTTCTGTTTTCTTTGGTCATCAATCGTAATGTCATTTACTTTATAGATTAAAAGTCTGGACAAAACATCTACATTATGGGATTAGGTTAATTTCTTATACAAAAATGGGTATAAATATAGTCAATGTTGCTATCCCTGCACAACAGACAGTGATCAAATGTGAAATTAGCAGATAGTCTGATATCTGGCCCGATTTTTAGGCAAACTTGAACCGCCCACACGTATGACCCTCACATACAAAACTGTCCCAGAGGGACATGGGACGTGTCCTTGAATCAAAGCTCTTTACTTAATGAAAAGGACAGAAGGATCTAGTCAGCTTCCACGGGGGGCTTGTTGACATTGAATGACTTTTTTTTTACCACATCAGAAACACCCACATGTTTTTTTCTTTTAAATGCCCCATCCCAGTCTGCTCAGAGCTAATGCTGCAGACACTTATTGACTGCAGATTCTAACAGAGGACAAACCCACTCACCCTATCTTTTCCCAAAGGTGTTGGGAGCCATATTGTACACACACTGTCTGAACAGTCCAATAGAATGTCCTTCATTTGTACAGAAAGTTCTTTTTTCTTGGTGGTTGGTCTTTTGGTGGTTGGCAGCCTTCGCTATGGAAGACCTTCAACTTTGACTTATTTTGATGTCAATATATTGACTTGTATTTTTTGCCTTAAATATCACAGATGTTTTAAGAAAAAAAAAAAATTTTCCTGTAATTATAATATAAGAGAAAAGAAAGAGGTTGAATTTAATTTTCATTCTGTGAAACTTAATATGCAATTATTAAATAAAAATATTTTACTTAAAACTACGTGACATTGCTACATTTCTTGAACAAAACAACATTATGTTGGAACAAGGGCTTTGGGTGATATTTCATTACTAAAATTGAATGATTTAGCTGGCGTGACCGCATAAAGTGTGATTCCAAAGGGATAACGTTCTTATCGTCTATTATACTGTGACTGTTAAACTGTGTTTGTCTGCCGTCTAGTGGCCAGAATTGACCAATTCACCACTAAATGTTCCCTGTCAACCTGAGAAGTCCTTAATTTTGTTTGTTTATATTTTAATTATTATATAATATATGATTATATGAAGAAGTACATTTAAAAAGTGTTCATGAGCAATGTCAATATCCTCAAAAACTACTGCAGGTCAGGGAAAGATGTATTATGTTTACAAAATCCCTGAATTTCTTTCATTTAATAATGCTGCTACTGCAAAAGGAAAATAATCACTCAATCACTCAGTCAATCAATAAATCAATTAGTCTATCTATCTATCTATCGATCGATCGATTGGTCTCTTTTTTAAATCTATTTATTAAATATTATTATTTTTGAAACGTGTGACATTATCCACCAGGGTAGCCTGGTGTATGCCTAATACTAACTGTTTATGAGCCACTAAGACTCCATGAGACACATTGAGTATGAATACATTTTATTTAAAATCATTTTTGAATTTTTTTGTAGGACCTCCACAAGCAAAATGAAGCCAGTCATCTTTTTCAGAGCCTTATAAATAAAATCCATCACTTTAACCTAAACCGCATGTGCAGCACAAACCACAAGCTTTAAACAAACTGTTGTTGGAAGCCTGCTATTTGCTTCATTATTGCATTTATTTTCCTCTAGTGGCCACACCGTGGCTGATTGGTGCAACCAGTTCTGCTCCACTTGCAGGGAACAGAACGCAGGAGGTAATGAGGCAACTATTTGACACTGGGGCCACATTGCAGTCGTTTGGTCATGAAGCACTTCTTTTATGCTGTGCAAGATGCTAGGGGAATTCTGTTGGAAATTAACGGATAATATACACATGTAATAATATAATATATTACATGTAATATTAGGTTGACTGGAAATCACGAGCAATTTATGTTCCCGCTGACTGTTTAGAAATGCAGTTTATGCTTTTCCGATGTTAGTGGTTGCTATTCACTGCTAGTATAACAACTATCACAAGTGAACTATAATACTGACTTAGTATTAAGAGACATGTCCTGCTTCCAGTGGTGAACAAAGTACACTATGTACATGACTGAAAATATTACTGCTGGATGCAATTTCCACTAATTTACTGATCATTTGCAGGTTATACATTGTTTTCTGTGATTCGTTGAAATACATTTAATACTTGTTATTGAAGTGTTTTTTATGTTATTGACACTGAAAATGTATGACCACTTTTTAGTTTAGTTTTGTGGCCAGTATCGTCCATCATAAAAGCATTCGCAAATCTAGCAGCCACGCGCAGCATGCAACCTCTAAGTTTGTCCCAGAAGAGCTGCCGTGTTTAGCCGTCCAAGATGGCGCAAACGGCAGCGACACTGATTGGCTAGATTGGCTTGCTCGCTTTTAAAAGCCACAGGTGGTAGCAAGTTGTTCCTAATTGGCGTTTCAGCGTGGTCCACATGAACGGCTCGGGAAGAATTGTAAGTGACTTTTGGATTTTTATTCCCTACTTTTGGCGTTTTGAGCATATTAATTGGTTATAGCTAGATATCTTAGACTTCACTTAGAGTGGAAGAAAACTTTGTTTTAGGGATGCACCAAAATTTTCCAGTGCAGTTTCGTGTGAATCCAAAAGACTTATCACTGAAACAACGCGGTTTGAACAGGATATTGTGATGAAAAACCGCGGCCAGAACTGTGAGATCTTTTTGGATACGCTGCACTTCATCATGACCATACTTGATCCGCATCGTGGAATTCAATGTTTTGATATGTGAATAAAAGCATGGACGAGAAATAATCCAGGACGAGAAATAATCCAGGCCAAGATGATTCCCGAGAACGCAGCTAATGATGCATTTTGTACACACACGTCGGGATCCTCACGATTAAACTAAAGCACGAAAATACACAGTGAAACATAAAAGGAAAAACTAGCCAACACCCATATAAATACATAAAATACATAAAGGTTTTTCTTTAGCTTCGTCCCTACTTTATTTATTTGCTTTGCTGAAATAAAATGACTGAGCCACGTCAGAATGTATTCAGTGAATCTGTTTATTTAAGTTGAAAATTTCAGTGTTTTAAGTACAACTTCAGTACGTTCTATGGTAATTTTCTAAATTGGTGAGAGTTAAACTCTATTTAATAGGAAATAAATGACTTGATGAATGATGTCCTCACACTAAAACTTCAGTAGTTAACATGATCCGTTTCTGTCTTGGATTTATTTTCCAGATTGAACATCATGAAGAGTGGAGCTTTGGCCCAGAGGCAATGTCTCTGTCATTGGTGTGGAACCCCTGGGCAAGTTCGAATCCAGGTTAGGCGGGTTGGAACCTTCCAGTGGACCCACCACCCGCAGGAAGGTTTAGGGGGGTTGGTACGGTGCAATGTGCTTTGGATGGCGACTGCTGCCCCTGCGACCCGGTAACGGATAAGCGGATGAAGATGGATGGACATCATGAAGATCTTCAATGGTAGGAGTGTTTTTTTTCTTCTCTCCCTTCTTCCCTTTTTCTTCGAGTCGTTCACCCAGGCTACTGTGCCACTTCCTTCTCTTACCTGGCTGCCATGCCACTGCTGTCCCCTATGTGGTTGCCGTGCCACTTCCTCTGTCCTCTACCCTGGCTGCCGTGCCACTTCTGTCTTCTACCCTGGCTGCTGTGCCACTTCTGTCCCCTATGTGGCTGGCATGCCACTACTGTCACCCATGTGGCTGCCGTGCCACTTCCTGTCCTCTACCCTGGCTGCCGTGCCACTCCTGTCCCCTATGTGGCTGCCATGCCACTACTGTCACCCATGTGGCTGCCGTGCCACTTCCTGTCCTCTACCCGGGCTGCCGTGCCACTAATGTTTCCCTTCCTGGCTGCCGTGCCACTTCTGTCTTCTACCCTGGCTGCCGTGCCACTTATGTTTCCCTTCCTGGCTGCCGTGCCACTTCCGTCCTCTACCTGTTTACTTTGGCTGCCATGCCACTACTGTCCCCTATGTGGCTGCCACGCCACTACTGTCCCCTATGTGGCTGCCCTGCCACTACTGTCCCCATGTGGCTGCCGTGCCACTTCCTGTCCTCTACCCGGGCTGCCGTGCCACTAATGTTTCCCTTCCTGGCTGCCGTGCCACTTCCGTCCTCTCCCTGTTTACTTTGGCTGCCATGCCCCTACTGTCCCCTATGTGGCTGCCCTGCCACTACTGTCCCCATGTGGCTGCCGTCCCACTTTCTCTGTCCTCTACCCTGGCTGCCGTGCCACTCCTGTCCCCTATGTGGCTGCCATGCCACTTCTTCTGTCCTCTACCCTGGCTTCCGTTCCGCTTATGTTTCTCTTCCTGGCTGCCGTGCCACTTCCGACCTCTACCTGTTTACCTTGGCTGCCATGCCGCTTCTGTCCCCTACGTGGCTGCCGTGCCATTTCGCTCCCACTTCCTGGCTGCCGTGCCATTTCGGTCCCACTTCCTGGCTGCCGTGCCACTTTCTCTTACCTGGCTGCCGTGCCACTTTGGTCCCCTATGTGGCTGCCATGCCACTTCTTCTGTCCTCTACCCTGGCTGCTGTGCCGCTTCTGTCCCCCTTCCTGGCTGCCGTGACGCTTCTATCTTTGCTGCCGTGCTACATCTGTTCTCTAACTAAGATCAGTCAATTAAACAGGTGAGACTCATCATGTTTCCTGCCACAGATGGGTCTGTTCTGGACCCATACAAGCTCTGGAAATTTGGCATAGTTGACTGTAGGGTGAAGGTGGTCCAGGGGAACCAACTTCATCGTGGAAAGATCTTCTCAGCCAAAGGTTGTCTTCAGGTGGGTTCTGCAAATTGACTATGAATAAATCGGTTCACTTTAATTTGTTCACTGACTGATCTGTTTCTAGGATTCTGTGGACCAGAGTTGAGCAAGTAGGGAGAAGATCTGGACCTGGTAGATCAGCCCGGACCTGAGGTGAGCAGCTGGATTGAGTTCCTTTAAGATTTGATTTTTAACTAAATAACAATTTCACTCTCATGTGACCAAATGTTGAATAACATTTATAATATAATTGGTAATAGTTGAGGGAATTCTAATGCATCATGTGACCAAATGTTGAATAACTGGTAATAGTTGAGGGAATTCTAATGCAGTTTTGTTTTTTATGCAGGGTTCACATTAGATGACACATCTCAGGACAATTGTTTGAGTTATCTACTGTCCACACTGCAGGGATGGACACCGGTGAGCTGAAGTCAGTTAAATGGAAGCAGGTCGACAATGATGGTGTTCCATCTCATCTTACTCGTGTCCACTCCTGCCCCTTTAACATGCATAACATTTTTTTTTTCTTTTCTCCCTCCCGCTCATCCTCATATTTGAAGATGTTGACCTGACTGTGTCGAGCTTGACATATGTACAGTGCAACTAACGTGAAAGGCAGAAGCGCACTCACCATAAAGGGCACCATTTAAGTCAGGTTTGTCCTTCTCTGGTATATTCATGTTCATGATTCTATATTTTGCTTACTCATTTATTGGATCCAATAGATTTGGAGAAGCAACATCCTGAACAAGTCATCACTGCAGCCAAGATAACCCAGACCTGCCTTCTTTCCTACTGGGAACCTCCTTCTGAGGTTTGTACTAAATTGTAATTCCTGTTGAGCTCAGTTTGTTTTGTAAAAACTTAATTGACTCATTTATGTTTAGGTACTCGACCCAGGCCCATCACAGCTAAGGAGGAGACAGGAGTCTGCTCTGCTTTTTTTTTTTTCTCCTCCCCATAAAGTTGACCGTTTACAAATCAACATGACTTTTCATGGATATTTAAATAATTGGTCTTTAGTCACTGATGATTTAATCTAAACACTTGATACCTGATTTGCTTTGCTTTAGTTTACGATCAGTCAGAGTTTAATGAGCTGGATTTCCTTCACACTATTAACACTACTGTCCTTCACTTCTGTCCTCACCCTTCTTCTTAAATATCCAGTCATGAATTTTTACTGAGTGTTGTACCATGGATGCCTTCAACAAAATCAGACATGGATCCATCTGCTTTTGTGACCTGGTCTATTCATGGTGCAACATTATCCTTTATATATTCTACCAAGCAGGCAATGTAAAGTTAGAACAAATGATTTTTTTTTTTTTTTTTTAGTGCTTCATCAGTGGTTTTTGGCCAAGTCAAACACTATACATGAAAAGTCATGGTGATTCAGTTGGTGGTTGCCTTGTTTGTTGTTTTAGTTTGGTGTGGAGGTCCATGATTGTCCTTTTTTGGGTTGTTTTTTTATATGTATAGGCTTATTTTTGCTTTTTTCTTTATATAAGGTTAGAAGGAATCTCCAGGGTGACAACCAACTGCATAGTTGACCCTGGTGTCTTTTCTTTAACTGTTTGTCTGCAACCTTTTTAAGGTAAAATTTCAAAAATAAACTACATTTAAAGTTAACACGATTGCGCTGTCTTACCTTCTTGTATAACGTAAATCCAAGGAATTCAAAATGTTAACCTGTGTTCTTCATTAAACTAAATACTGAGACACTGACCTTGGTGTTGGGCTCATCAGCTGTTGTAGATGTAAACAGATGATCTTGCACTGTCTTACCTTCTTGTAGCTGTTGTAGATGTAAACAGATGATCTGAGCTCTGAGGTTTAGATAATAGAACCTTAAACCAAATCTGTTTGACTGTAACATGCCACATATGTCTGCAGTTAATTATTACCCACAATACAGTTTGTTTTGGCTGTTTATCTTAAGCTTTGCTTTATTTTTAAAACCTTAGCAATTTGCTGTTGTGTAGCCAGCAATGTTATAAAGGGAAGTTGTCAGTCCTGCATTTACTGTATAGACACATTATGGTACAGTATCTATCAACTTTCTGTCAGCTGTTTGCATCTAAACTAAACCTACCTACAGTACATTTGAAACATTTTCTACAGGTCTTTAAAAAGCCCTACAGTCAGAAGGCAATTTTGAAAAAGCAAATGCTTACATTTTTCCAACTAGAATTAGCCTGGTTGTTTTCTGTTGTCTTTTCAATCACTAAATTAAGTAAAACACCTAAGTACAGTCCAGCAAACAACGTTGAAAAAGAATTCGCCCGAACAGGGACTTGAACCCTGGACCCTCAGATTAAAAGTCTGATGCTCTACCGACTGAGCTATCCGGGCTCTGTCAAAACTAGTACCAGGTCAGATTTTAAATCCCCTAAGTATCACTACTACCTTATTATATGGACAAATTATTAAATTAAACTAAATCACGTTCGTTGCGCTTCTGTTTTATGCGTTAGAATACATACGTACAAAAGAGAACGGGGTGGATTTAAACTACATATAAGGAAACGTATTAAGATAAAGTTTCAAATGTAAACAACACATTTTACATTAATATATTATCTTTTAGATAATTTAAAAACAATTCTTGTTTTGTAGCCTTTGACTGGAGTTTCACGTGTACAATATATACGGTCTATATTCTAGAACTACAGGACGTAAGTTCTCGATACTATACTGCCCTCTTTCGGTTCATTTTGCTAATTTTGTCGTGGGTTGCTACGTCCTACGTCATACAATAATACGGAAGTAGCGTTAAACAACAACTATTACAAGCCGAGCACATGAACCGGCAAAATGTCGTTTACGATTGACCTAAGCTTTGTTTTAAATGTGTAAACTAGTTTTTGTAGGAGGTCTGTTTTATATCGCGGCTGTTGTAATAGGGTGATCTTGTTTCACGTCTAAGACATTGTTTTGTTTTTTTGTTTTTTTATAGAGAAGACTACTTAATGGAGAGGTATTCAATTCTAAGAGTGATCGGTGAAGGTTCATTCGTAAGAGCATTGTTAGTACGAACTCGCAGCAGCCAAGAGGAGCATGTGCTCAAAGAAATCCGTCTTCCGAAGGTTTGTTGTTCAATCATTTCACAAATCAGTGCATCGTCACTCAGTTCACAAATCATCGTCTCACGGAGCGAAACCATCAAACACAAACGTGTCGTTTATAGTCCGACACAAAAAATACAACACATTAATGCATAAATAGCCAAAACGTTGCCAAATAATGACAAACAACAGACTAATTTACTAGGAATTCGTACAAAAAGACTGAAAATCAGTTCCATCAAATCTTCAGAAACGTACATAAGATAAGATTTTTTTTTCATTGCATTTGTACACAAGATAGAATATGTGTAACCTAATTGTAAGGTGTTGACTTTATGGGGACTGCGTGAAAATCATTTTTGTGTAAATTTAATGTTAGACAATATTTAAATATCTGTCGTCATGTACACAGGTTGATATGAAAATCTTGTTTGGACAGAAACATTGATGTTTCTTGTTGTGCGTGATTTTTTTATTTTTATTTTATTTATTTATTTTTCACAGAGTCACTCTAAGTTGGAGGACTCAAGGAGAGAAGCCATCCTGCTGTCCAGGATGAAACATCCTAATATTGTCGCCTTCAGAGAAGCCTTCGAAGGTTAGAAAAAAAACCCTTTTATTAATAAACTGCTTTTATTTGGATTGCAAACAGTGTGATGTAGTTTTTTTTGTTGTTGTTGTTTTTTTGTTATTTTGTAGTTGATGGCCTTCTCTGTGTGGTTATGGAGTTCTGCAGTGGAGGAGACCTACTGCAGAGGATAAAGCAACAGAAATCTGCACAATTCTGCGTCAATGATGTAAATAATTATAATAATTATTTTTTATTATTTTTTTTACTGATTTCCACTACATTCTTCTTGTAAGTTTAAATGTTTTTTTCCCCTAGATCTTGAGGTGGTTTTCTCAAATGTGTGCTGGAGCCAGGTATATCCATGATAAACGTGTTCTCCACAGGGACCTGAAGTCCAAGGTAGGAAAGATTGTAAATGTTCACCTGTACTGTTGCTAATGTTAAATAGTTTCCCTTAAGGCTGAAGAGTAAAGTGTGTAGGACTGTCTGCTCTGTAGATGAAGTAGAAAAACCTACACCTATTCATTTACCTCTTCATTTCATTTTTCATAATTTTTTTACCCAGAATATTTTCCTGACAGAAAATGGGACGGTCAAGGTAGGAGATTTTGGGTCGGCATGTATTCTGAACAGGTAGGAAAGCCAAACTAGTAATTACTAATAATTCCTTTTCATTCTGTAAGTGTTTCTATTGACATTTTTGGCCTATTTTTGCTGTGTTGTAGTTCAAAAGCTTACGCACAGACGTACGTTGGGACACCCTACTACGTGGCTCCAGAAATCTGGGAAAATAAACCATACAACAATAAGAGGTATGATGTCAACATGCTAAAATAACCTTGACATTTAATTTAAACATCTTGTCCTCAACATTTTCTAATTAAAAGGAGGAACCTGGTCTGAGTCACATTAATGACATGCCATATGAAGCAAAACCAATAATCAGATCAGTGTATGTACAAGCTGCTGTGCCATGATGGGATCATTTCATACTAAATAAATTACACAACAGGAAACACAACATTCATATGAGACATAATCTGACATTGGCCTTTAAGTAAAAAATGGCCATACACAGCTAAGAATCCTATAGTGATTGACCTCTGTCTTTGTGCTCACCGGCCTTCTGTACTAAACTCTTGTTTATGTTCTGTGTGTTCTGCAGCGACGTATGGTCTCTTGGATGTGTGCTGTATGAGCTCTGCACTCTGCGACATCCGGTACGTCTTCTCCCTTCTCCTACTGTTGGGCTACGACAAATGATTTTACTTCTATCACTGAGTAAACTGTGAATTACTTGTAAATTGCATTTCGCTCAAAACGACGCCCCCTAAAGGTCTCCAACAGAATCTACATTACTAAAGAGGTTACTAATTTTGTAGTCATACATATATGTATTTATATGTGGATATATATATATATGTGTGTGTGTGTATATATGTATGTATATGCTTATAAATACATAAATAGGTGATTCAGATCATGGTTGCAAATACATAAAAACAAAGTATTTCTATTTTCATATATGTGTGTTATATGTATACATATATGTATACATGAGGGAATGGTATGTTGTGGTCAACCTTCAGGTAGGACTGTACGGTGAATAAATGTCTTTTATCTCCAAAGACAAATATTGACATATCATCTTGACATTGTTTTCACTGAATGATTATAACTGAAATATTTTATGCATCATTTTTCTTTGGTCTGACACTGCCTAGTGCTGTCATGCTGATGTTGCTTTTCTTTTTTTATCACATTCCCTCCCACCTCTCTCTCTCATGTTCAGTTCCAGGCTTCTAGCTGGAAGAATCTGATTCTGAAAGTGTGCCGGGGTTCGTACCCCCCACTACCCCGCCAACTGCCCTATGAGTTGCACTATTTGGTCAAGCACATCTTTAAGACCAACCCAAAAGACCGGCCCTCCCTGAACACTATTCTCACCTCCCACCGGGTTTCCAAGCTCCTGCGTCCATATTCACCCCCTGAGGTAAAAACACAGTCATCCCGTTGAGTTTCCTGCTCAGTGACAGTCACTCAGACATTTGAACCTGAAGTAATTTTATGGTCGATCATCCATCAAAACGATAAACTGCCATGACATGGTGTCAGAGTGAGAATTTATACTCCCTTACTTTCCCAGCTGTGGTGACTGTGTGTGGAATCTGACCTCTGACATGTTGCTGTTAGTTCAGATGGCCGAGGAGCTCGTGTTATGCCTTTGATTTACTGCACAGTGTTATATCTTTGTCAGGTGACAGAGGTGGAGGAGCGGAGGAGGCCAATGTGTCGATGGAACAGAGACGAGGGGAAAAAGGTGGCGGATCTCCTGGGAGAGAAGAGTTTAATAAAAACGTCAACATTTGAAGGTAGTCATGTCAACGTGGAATTAATGATGTATTGCTCCAGATAGAAGAGAATTGTGATTTTTATGTAAAAAAAATCAACTGTCTTATGACTTCAGGCTCTGAGTTTCACGGTGAAGACACAGCCAGACCACGAAAACAGTGGGCTTTAGAGCCGTCGGACTCTGTGATGGAGGTGTTAGCCAACGCTAGCCTTATGTCATCTGAGAGCATGGTATCGATGAACCAAAATCCCACTGGCTGCACTCATGAAGGTATAGTTACAATAATATCAACTGAAACATATTTGTGGAGGAAATGGAACATAATAGCATTGTTAGCAATAGGCTTTATTTTTTTATCTTGCAAGACATTTTTTTTCTTAGCAAAACTCTTTACCAAACAACAATCAGGTCAGTGAAGACCTGAGTAAAGGGAATGGATTTACAAATGTATTATATATCTACACTTTGTGTCAGTATCTGTTTTTTTATTGTATACTGTATATTTAATTGTCATTGTACAGAACAAACAACCAGAGGAAGAAATAACAGATTTAAATACTCCTAACTACTAAATAAAAGCGACAACTTCCAGACGCCAGAGTCAATGTTAGTGATTAAGCTGCACATAGCACCTAATTCTATTAAGTGAAGTCTATGGAAACCAAGGACCAACTTGGAGACAATCAAATCTAAAGAACTTCTCTCCACAAACCTGTCACTTTATTCCATCCATTTACTTCTGAAACTTCCCTCAGAATTTGACCTCTGTGTTTCTTCTGTGTGTACTCTGTAGTCGCAGACACCTGCTTTAAGCTTGACCCATGTCAACACACTCTCTTCAAAGGCGAAAGCATTCAGAGGAGACGATGGGAGAAAGATCCTCCAGAAGAGCTCCTGCTTTTGTTAGAGAAGGCTGAAGTGTTCAGAGCCTTCAGCACGTTTTTAATACACAAAGCAGGTCTCTGGAAGAAGTGACATCACACACGTCGTTGAATTCACCTTGATATTTACAAGATGAATAAACATTTAAGGAAAAAGGAACCCTGTTGACAGATTTGTTGTGCCTGCTCACAGGTGACGACCCACTGATTGGACCTCTGTCACAAAATCACAGTGATGACACTGACGGCTCTGAACAGGAAAAGAATGTAGACGAACATCGCTTGGAGCCACGGTCTGACGACGAGGACACGTAAGCAGCACTGACACAAGACTTAAAAAAAAGAACAAAACTTGTTTTTATGCTTTTGCTGTGGTGGAATCGTTGGTAAATGGGTATATCCATGTTTATAACTTCACCTCTCTCACCTCTAGATGTCCCTGAATAGCAGTTCTTGAAAAGAAAATCCTAGCTTTGAATTCCTCTGACCTTCTGACACAAGCCAAAGTCAAAAACATCTGTTATTGTCATCTCTGTGTAAACTGGATTGTTGTTGTGCTGTTTTTTTACAGAGACTTTGAAGAAGAATCTTCATGTAATTGGATGGAAGAAGTGGAAAAACTGTGGCCCTGCACTGAAACCTCAGACCTTTAACGGACCGTTGATGATATGAAAATAATCATAATATTGATCATTTTCACTTGTGCGCAGATCTGTGCATGTTTGTGGTGCAGTGGATTTTACAGTAATGTAAGGTTATTTTTATACGACAGTGGTTGTTGCATCCGTGCTGTGTTTTATTTCATTAAAACAGCATAGTACAGCTCAGGTCTATGTGAACATTTTTATTGAACTCACAAACTGTTATGTGAAGGTGTGTATTTTGACACAGAGATGGCAGTGATGGTCTTTCCTGTACCACTAGGGAGAGATGTAAACCACTGATTCCCAAGCAACTTGCCAAGGCAAGTGTGTATGAGAGATCATCAGGTGTAATGTGGAAAAAATTTCACTTTTACTTTTTAATTAGTCTGGAAACTGTTATTAATTTAGCGCAAATGATTTGTGATTGTTTATCCATGCCAGAGTGGCAGGCAGAATACTTAGGTACTCTTCCACTAGGTGGCAGCAGATGGCTACAAAAACTAAAAAAAGAGACCAAAGAGAGAGACTAAACTGTTGAAGACTTATTTGTGTCTTTCTTCAATTCCTGTTAGTATATCAGTGTAGTGTTCAACTAAACAGGTCCAGGTTTCAAACTGGAAAGTAGATAAATTGTGAGTACAATAAAAGTAGAAGATCATTATATTTAATTTCATATACATTTCGTGGCATTTTTGTTTAGCGACGTGTTAAATATGCACTGTGGCTTAACGGTGTGTAAACAGACTTAAACCTTGTGAACTTTAAATCAGTTCTGGTACAGACAGTGTCAGTTGTTTTTACAGCTCCAGTTTAGCACACTGAAATAGTGAGAGTATGAATGTATTTAAATATTAGGAAACAAGAAGAACCTGTTAGGTTTGTTTAGTCTAATTAAAGTATTAACAGTAAGACAGAAGAAGTGACAATAGCCTAACCTCTTGTGACAACTTAGAGCCAAAACCACACCCATGACAGTTTGGCATCAGCAGGACAGAAATACAAACCCTTGAGTCACCAAAACCACAGAGGTGCTGATTCACCAGCAGTTAGACCACGGACAGAGTAACTCTGCTGCTGCTGTCGACACAGTTTCTCCAACATCAAGATCCTTCTGCTGGCTTGGAACAATATAAACTACCACATCACAGTCTTCATGGATACTAGATGGCCTGCAGTGTTTACTGAGGAAAACTCGTTATTTTGAAGATCAACTGAACTGTCCTCCAGGACATACTTTATAGACTCTTATTTCTGTCCTCATTCCATTTTAAATTGCAACAATATTCTCCAGTGCACTGTGAGGGTTAGAATGATATACATCAGATTCAGTGAAATGGCTTGGCATATACATCCTGCAGATAAGAGGGCCTTCTATCAGGGTCTTTGTGGACTAGAGCGGTAATGGAATGGAATTTGAGAATTCTGTAAAGGCTACATGATATTGATATTGTGTTGTCAGTGCCTATTGGATAGTGCCCACATTCAAATTTAAAATCTGGTGACAATTTATTTGAATTTGTCTTTGTTGTGCATGGCCTTGTTATACTTTTTAAAGGATTGACAGTTATATAAACACAAGTTACAGTTTAGGTATTTACATAAGACTGCAAAAAAAAAATCTTGCCCAATAACTTTGTACTATAATATATCATTTGATTGTGAATCAAAAAAGGTACTTTTGCAAATAGTAGAAACAACGTAATCCACTTGTCATCTATACCAGGTTCATTTGAATAGCAGTATGCCGTCGGCCTCCGACAACTGGGTTAAAGGTGAAAAACGTGACTCTGAAAAGTTCTGAGAGAACAGTTTTATGCTGTTGTTGTTCCTCAGTGAAAATATAGTCACAGGAGCAGATGAACAGGAGCTTCCTGTTGCAGGAAGGATGTGAACTTGTGTCTGTATCTAAATGGCTATAAATGGGTCAAGGAAGAAATTTCTCTGTGAATGGACTTCTGTCAGTGGGAGAGGTAGAGAGAGGGAGAGTGTCTGGGTTGGCTGCTATTAGCACTGTTCATACGAGCTGTCATAATATATAATATTAATGTTACTACATATGTATGATGTGTTTATATAAGAAGGCGTTTCGCTAGAGGAGGTTTTACAAACTTGTGATAAGCCTGAAATGAGCTGTCAAAGCCAGTGAAACAATCACCAATGACTGAAATTCTAGCTAGCAATTCTTCCTACAGTGACTAGGTGTTAGCATCCCTTGATAATCAACACAGAAACAAATATTGCACATAAACTTTGCTCAATAATCAAATGAATGAATAAAATATTAATCTAGTGTCAATTTCATTGATTTTTCTAAATAGTTCCGCTCTTCGCCTGGTATCGTTTCGGCGACATGCTACATCCTGTGTCTCAGTATGTTCTCATCAGAGCCACTGTGCAGTGTCATCTCCGGTACCACTCTGTTCCAACATCTAATCTGAAGCACTTCATTAATCGTCCTTCCTGCTCTTCCTGCTTAAACAATCAGGTATCTTCCACTCTTATCAAATGATGCACGAGCTTCTCTTTCATTTGCTCTGTTTGGGAAATCGACTGCACACTTCAACACCCAGCTGCCGTCATCATTTTTGATGAAATATAAACGCCAGTTATCTGTGACAATCTCAGGTCTTCCTTTGCTCCGTGTGACACAGACTGTTGTTCTCGTCAGGAAGAGCCCGGCAGATGCACCATGACCCTCTGTGATCTCTGTCTGATGCTGAAAACCTTTCACTTTTCTGCTTCACAAACTTCACAAACAAAATGGATCCTAACAAGCTTGTCATGTCCTTAAAAGAAAAAAAATTCAAAGGATATCTGTGTTTGCTTCTCCTCATATGTCATGAAATGTAATTTAATTTAACACATTTTTGTGAAGACAATTCAAAAATTCTAAACTACGAAGATGTGGTCTTCATCAGAGGTTGTAAAAGTTTTGGTTCTACAGGTGATTCTATACGTTTATACGCTCCTTTTCATCATCTGTTTGTCAGTTTGTTCTTGGCCTGAAAATGTGAGACTGCTGACATTTGGCAGTCATAAGAACATGTGACCAACCAAGACCAGAGACGTACATCCTCAAAATTGTGTTTCAAAAGTCTGTCACCTGTACCTTAAACACATTTCTCAGATTAGCACGAGGTGGAACTGCATGTTATTTTCCTAAAACAACTTACTCGCTTTAAAATACTTAAAAAAAAGGAACAACATGCTATTACATCATCACATTACTATGAACATTTGGCAAATTTTATAATCACCACTGATGAAGCACACCTGCTGATAATGGTTTAAAAACACTGCTGCAAAGACCTGTTTGAATGTTCAAAAATATTTATGTTATGTTATCATGGTGAGTTCACTGGCGCTGCTAATTATGTTACAAAATGCAAAACATTGTAGTTTTCAAAAAAAAAACACCTAATATAAAACACAAAATATCAATAATAATATTGTTATTATATGAATAATATTGTAAATATCATTATCATATTTATATTTTTGTATTAGCAAAATTTACCTACATACTAAAATAAAATCTGAAAAATATTACTAGTGCCTGACTGTACATAAAAAAAAAGAGTTGACCCAGATCTGTTTGGGTTTCGTACGAAACCTCCTAATAACTGTTAAAACAATGAAACCCGCTGTCGTGCCTCACAGCTCAGAGCAGTGTATCACTGGGTGCAGCTCTTCCTGTTCCTACTAAAGCATCAGGCTGCTGTGGTCAGGAGTCTCCGCGCAGCTATAAATATGGCAGCTGTCATTGTTATGACTGACCCTCCATTGTCCGCTGCCACTGTTTTGCTGCTCCGTATCAGACAATAGAGTCCGGCGTGGCCAAGTAAAGGCTTTTGTCATTGAACAGTACAATTCATCACATGTTCTGAGTAAAAAGGTCAGAGCCAGATAAATTTGGATGCTGCCTCATGTGGGACAGGGCCATATTCTTCTTCAAGGGCTGGTCTAATTTTGAGGGAGAGTCTTACAGGGTCATGGTCTGTTTACCCTGTTGTCTGTCCTAACAGTGTACATGGCAGCGGGATTTTCCACACTGTAATGTAGGTGTAACTGTAATGAATGTGGTCATCATGTCTTAGATGTTCAGATGTCAAATACAATATGAAATCATCATATTTCCATGATATATAAGGAAAAACTGCATAAAAATACAAGCAAAACACTTAAGAAAACAAGGGATTTCAGCAAAAAAATTGTCAAATCTAAAACCTATAAATTATTATTATATCTCAAATAGGGAAAACAGTTTCTTATGTCAAAAGTTACACATCACAAAAGTTTTTAGACACAGATAGAATTCAGCCCAGTTGCCCATTGAAAGTACCCATAAATGTTTTTGTGAAAGAAATAACTCAATAAAATTAGCACAACCGCAGGTCATACTAAATGCTAGGTCTTGACTTAGCGCAATGCTAATCCAGTCTGTCTCTGTTTATCTACGTCCTTACAACTTTTATATCTTAATATGTTCTGAATTATTATATATTTATCTATTGTAAGCTGCTTATAATTTTAAGATTACTCTTAAAAAAAAACAAACAAACAAAAAAATACACCGAGGTCTTGTGACTGTCCAGCTACAGAACTACTGTCAGAACGACTGAGTGTGTCTCATTGATCTAAAACAGCGCTTCCATCCTGCAGATGTTCACACAGTAACAATGATTGAAGTCAAGTTAATGGTTAAAGTTGTTATCAGTCAATCCAATCAGTCTTTCTGAGCACAGACACAGTTCTGTGTAAACATGTGCGGCTTTGACATTTGTTGACGGACCATAATAATTATGTTTCACACTAGTGGAAATTCAGTCATACTTTGTTACAGTTTTGTCAGTAATTTTGGCAAACACTAACCCCATTGTTTTTATTTATTCATGTAAAACTGATATGATATGTTATGATATGTTTCCAAACCAAACACTGTAGGGTTAAAAACTGCAGTATTTGGCTTTTTAAACATTAGACATCATACAACTCGACAAATGTGTTGTCTGTTAAACAATCCTAAATAACAAAGTACCATATGTTATACCAAAGAAATAATGTTATATCTTATCTTTTGGTTCTATATTATGTAATAAATAAACTTGTATAAATTTAATCAGTAGGTGAGGTAATGTTGTTAATAATCGGTGTTTGTACGATGCTTTATTTTGATTTTGTGT